ACCGCGGCGGTGATCGACGCGCCCTGTTGCCACAGGGCTTTGCGCAGACTTAGCACAGTACGGGCAGATGTATATGTGCAGTCGTGGCGGTGCTGTGTCAGGCCCGACAGCAAGCTGCTGGTTCGATGAGTGGGCAGCGTCCGTTTTGGGACCTTCTGCTCGCGTGGAAGTTTGTCTTGCTTCGTGTATTTCCTGAATTTCCTTGCGAATGTCCTCTAGGATTGCTGCGTGCCGGTGGCGGGTTTCGCGTTGGCGCAAGCGGGCCAGGCGTTGATTCGTGCGATGAGCAAGACGGCAAACGAAGGCAAAGGCTGTGCATGCGTTGCATACTTGTGTGCCGTCTTGAGTGTATTCACGACCTTGTTGCCAAGCTGTAAACTCTGTTCGTGGCTTGCGTTCCGCGCACATGGAACACATGAAAACAGACCAGCGACTTTGACTGAGCTTCGGCCGCCATCACTGTGGAAGATGTTCACTGCAGGAAGGGTTCCAAACTCACTCTCTCCCAGGGGTCGGCGGCAGGGGGCGTAGCCCCTTAATTTGCATTATTTTAATTTGGTTTTCCTTCTCAGTGATATGACTCCATTTCATCATCAAAGTGTTCCGGATCAATAGAGCACCCGTGGCAAGGTATTTGCGGAAAGATCCCTTGGAATCTAGGTACACCACCGCAGATGGAGGAGCAAATGCATCAAGAGTGTTGTTGTAATAGGATCACCGGTCATATCGGTCAAAGTTGAACTCTCTTGGCTTGGCAAATGAGCATCAAATGAGCAAAACCACCCATTTTCACAATGTGCAACTTGTATCAACTTGTCAATGGCCGTTGGTGGAGCTCTGGATCTATAGATGATAGCTGTTCTATGCTGTTCCTGAACGATTGTGTAAACTCTCGGGGAATCTTCAAGCGCTTGCACGTTCACATTGTAGGACACGGTCGTCTTCTTGGAATCATCGGAATAATCAATTGAATACAATGAAGATGGCGGAGCATGCGGAGCACCCACGTGGAGCACGGACGTAATCTCATCATCCGCCAGCACGAACAGCACCAAAACCACCACGAGCGCAATGATGATATTGATGCCACGCAAACACACTCGCAAGTGGGTGATAAAAGTATGCCTTTTTCAATCTGAAATTTCCGTTACAGTTCGGCGACGTCGAACGGCTTTCAGCTACCTTCAGAGCCCATCCAGCGCCATGCAGCGCCAGAGCCTCCTAGCTGTAGCTGAGAAGTGCTGTAGCGTTGTAAAAGATGTTGAATGTTTACTGTAAATATGTTTTAACATTGTAAAACTGTAAAACGAGCGTATCACTCATGTCTTCGTGATCTTGCAAGAGGCATTGATGGCAATTTGCCAGCTTCTCGAATCCAGAAAGGATTCAGAAAGGTTTCAGAGAAAGAAGGCTCCCAGAAGAGTTGATGGACCTCAGCTCGCCATGGTCAAGTGATGTCAAGTGTCAAGTGATGTTAAGTGTCAAGAAACGTCTCGATAGAACTCTTGCCTGTGTTTTCCAATGCATCCACAAGTCACACCGCTGCACTTGGTGTATCGTTCACGTCAGAAACGTCCTACAATGAAACGAATGATCTTGAAAAGACAAAATGCACATTGTCTAATCCAAGATTGTTTTGAGTGGATATATAATTATATATATATATATATATTATTATATTATTGTATGACCGTGTGACCAATCATCAAGTATAATCAGAAGGCTAAGCACCTTTTAGAATAGAAACACCCAGTCTGATCAGGGTACTAGCCATCCACATACACTTTTAAAAAAAAATCCGTTGCAACTGCTTATGCCATCGGGAGCAAGGGCAGGACCTGACAAAACTATGAGGGAAAATGTTCTCTGCAAATACCCAGGCGGCCCGGCTTCGAGTCCTGGAATGCTGAGCCAAAGCGATCAAAAAAGGCATTGCACGTCATAAAAGAAAAAATATTAACAAAAAAAACACTGAATCATCTGAATAAGAATAATGTATAATAATAATAAGCTGTCTGCAACATCTTCCAGCTAGTCTTTTCCAGAATAAAAGACTGAACATACTGAACGTATTTTGTTCTTTTGCATCTTTTGCCAAGCATCGTCTACCTCAGGGCCAGGGTCTCGCGGCCCCACATCCAAGCCTGCCAAATTGATCCGACGGACGAAATCGGCCAAGCACATTTGCAGCAACACCATGCAACACCTACATAGCCTATATAATCCTATATACATTTCTCATCATTTGTCCACCTGTCAGATCACATGCGAATTGAATCTGAAACTCTGAAAGCACGAGAAAAAAAAAGTGAAGGCAAAGAAATAAATGAATTGTGGTTCTGCAAGAAATAAGTTTTGAAGGATAGTCACGCCCAAGTTTGTGTGGGCAAAGGTGGGCGTTGGCGCAAATTCTTTTCAAAATCTCAAGAGTCCAAATTGTCCAACCAGGTTTGTCAGAGTTACAATGTGTCAGAATACCTTCAGATTCAAAAACGCAATGTCTTACAAGAGCAAAAGTGGATAAAAGCGGCACCGGCGTTCCCTCCTTCCACTGCTGGCCTTGTGGTGCAGCTGTACTTGACGAGGCAGGTCCCAGGTCTTGCTCCTCACAACTGTTTGCAGCTGCCTCAGCTACCTCTGCGTTGAGTTCGTGTTGGGGCTCTGGTCTTTGGAGCCCCACATGGGAAGCAGAAGGTTCATTAGATTCGTCATCAGGCTCATCTTCAAACAGGAGCGAGAGGGGCCAAGGCAGGTTCAGTAGGCTGTAGTTTGCCAGGACCAACTCCTTCTCGAGAAAATCATGTCCCAGACTGCAGCTGCAGCTCGCTTCTACCGATCCACACTGAAAGCAGAACCGTGCGCCGCATCGACATGTCATTTTATCGCATCCTGTCACCCAGCCTCCCGACTGCTTCTGTATCCAAGTCCCACATGAAGGACAGCGACGGCAACCCAGGTCCTGTAGAGCGGTGATCTCTTCAAGGTCTGCATCTGCACGTCCAGCGCGCAGTTCACGCCATCTGTCGTGCTGCCGTAACCAGTCTGTCTTTTCTGCCGCAGTGAGACAATTGTAGACTTCCACCAATGAAAGCTTCCGCAGGCAAAAGGGACAGGTGGGCGGGAAATGGCCAGATTCCGCTTGAATGATGAGGTACTTCGACAAGCAAGACCGATGAAGCTTGGGGCAAATATTTTCTTCCTCCCACAGCCAGGAGAAAGCAGCTAAAAATCCACCGTATTCGTTTTCATCATCTTCAACCGAAGGGACCGAACAGCATACCAAACCAGCTTCCTCTTCAGCAGACTGGATGGTCTCCCAGCAAATACTACATTCAACTAGTTCCACCATTTGCTGCTGTCCAAAATTCCATGAGTTCTACGAGTCGCTTGCAGGAAAGGCGCTGCGGAGAATCCGTCTCGAAGGATGCAATTATGTGATATTAAGATATACTAAGATATATCATAATATATATTATATAAGTGTATAGAGTGTATGATTGGTTTGAGCTCAGGATGTGACACTTGAACTTGGACTATTCTTCTGTCAGTGCCCAGGTGAGATCTATGTCCATTGTATATTGTCCACTGATATGATATACGTACTGATATCAGATCAGGATCACCTCTGGGACCTGTCTACTCGCCACATCTTGCCACCATGCAAACCAAGATGTCCTGCCTCCTTGACTGCAAATGCAATTCCTCCTGATGCAGGATGCGAAGGTGATTTATCACCACTTTGCATGTCCATCCCTTCTTGCAACTCGGCAAATCTCGCTTCAAGTCTTGAATATGTTCTTCAACATGTGCAGAACGCGCCTGTCTCAACAACCGGAACAGCTTGCACATTCTTGTGTTCTGGGGGCCTCAGGCACAAAAACTACGGAAGGGAGAGCTGGGAAAGCAAACTTCCAAGTTTGAAGTAGGTTGCGGACACGCTTTCTCGCAGCCCTCCATTAAGTCTGAACGTGGGCGCACTGGCCACTCCTGTTTTTTTTTTCAAGTCGACTTGATTTTGTCTGCTGAAAGTCTCTTGCGGGAAACTGGCCATCTCAAATCTTGATTGAGTAAAAGAGCACAAGGCAAAAGAGCACAAGGCAGAAGCATGCCAGCAAGTCCTTGAGACACAGACCTCAAAGGTTCGAGCAAGCGTCGCAAATGTTCAGGAGGAGCCAAACATAAAGCTGTACCTTTGGACTTCCTGGTCATGTTTAAAAATGTTAGAAGAATCTTCGAAGTTTCAAATCCATGAATCATTTGGACCTGGGCTTTCGGCTTTGGTGCATCGGTGTCCAGCGCTGAACTCTCTACACCTGCACTCTAGAAATGATGCTCTCAGCCAAATTGGCCTTTAAATTGGACACTGCCTCCGGATGTCAGGGTCCTCACCCCGACTCGGGCCTGAAAAGGGAACAAGATCCAAAAGCAGCAAAAGCAACTCAGTTCTTCACTTCAAAAGTAAAATACAGTACTTATCAGTACTTATGTACTTATACTTATACTACTGAGTCTGACTGAGTCTGACTGCGACACAAGAAATGCCCTGAAAATTGTGGTCTTCGCCACTGTAGCGGTGTCAAGCGCTGTCTGCACACTCAGGTTCTATCACATCAAAATCCAACAGTCCCAGGATATTGCCTTCATTGCCGCGAGAATTGCATCAGATGGTTCATACGTGCCAAAAGACGACATGGCCATCCTTCCTATGAGCGAAATGCGAAACGGAAAGGCTTTCTAAGCCTGTCCCATTCACAGCATCCGAAGAAACAAGAAACTTGTGTCTATCACGGTGTGTCCTCGACCTTTGTTAATACAAGGAGTTAGAACGGAATTGCCTGTACACATGCTCTGTGTTATCACAGTGAAACCTAAAGCTGCATGCCCGAGAAGGAGCAAAAAGAGCGGGAAGAAGCAGGCACAATCAAATCCCAAGTCTACATAAGTCTACTGAATTCCTTTGCTGGCACAGTCTTGCTTCAGTGCATCTCTCGCAAGGCCCTCTTTTCACATTAGCCAGGGGTGCTTCGCGGCGGCGCAGGTTCCTGACAAAATCTGTGGTCTGTGCTCTGGAATTTGTCGACTCTCTTCAGCTGCTAAATCTTCAAGAGGTGCCTGAGGCAACTCAAGCTGTGTTGCGCCATTGTTTCGATTCACAAAGAAAACCTGCACACAAGACGAAGTGCCATTCCTTACCGCTAAGCCGCTAATAGGGCTAAGCAAGTTCTGGAAAAAAAACGATCTGCAAGTTGAGATGTCAAACAAAAAGATCAAAAAGCAGCACTTGCCAAAATGATGGTGTGGCCTTCCCAGTACTCCTGGAAATGACACGAAGCCAACCATCTGGAAGAGGCTCACACCCTGCAAGTTCCAACAGCTATCAACAATCACCAGTGATAGAATTCTGATCATACAATATCATACAATATTGTACGTTCTAATTGAACCAATTTGAACCATATATTTGCTTTTTAGCTTTTTGGTATGCAACAGGATGGCGATGTCGTTCAACTCTTGGCAGCCTTTGAAATACTTGTCTTGGACCTTTTGCCACTCAGATACCTCAGATGCTACGCTGCTTGTATGAGAAGAATCTGAAAGGCCAATGTTGTCGCTGTGCTTTCCTCAAACTTTCTATTACATCAATTCTTCCCAGACACGGTGACAGGAGTCTCGTCCTTTTTCGTGGGACCACGTGGGCCTGCAATCTGCAAAAACCAGGAGTTATGAAGTGATCCTCCGATCCTCATAACTTCTCTTGACTTTCCCAGTTCCTCACCGCCCAGATCAACCTGATGCGACTGACTATGCCTTGTTAAACAGGTGTTTAAAATCGATTCTTATTTGATTGATTTGCACTGATTTGTCACACCTGGTTCTCCAGCTTGTGTGACTTCTGCCGGCATCGGCCTGGTGTCTTTGCTCTCATGCTTGATTCAGGAGAATTCTGTGAAGCTCTGGAGAAGGCAACAAAAAAAGGTGTGAAACTGGTTCAAGAAGCACAGTCCCAAGAGAAGAATGATATTCTGTGATTTGATATTATAGATAGATAAATATGTTTTATAATAAATTTCTATATTTATGTGATTATTTTTAAATTTCATATCATATTCATTCATATTCTATATCATCTATGTCTATACCTGCGTTTCATGGTTCGGCTTCAGACCTTGCACGCTCACGACCTTCGGTACCTTCGGCTGGCTTCTCCTTTCCGTTTCGTGGTGGGTCCTGCAGAGGTGCCTTGGCAGAGAACGCTTCTGCAAGTCGAGCCGTCGAGCCGTCGAGCATCTACATTTTTCTATGAATCACCAAGGAATCTAAGGATTCCAATAGGATTCCAAGGATTCCAACTTCATCTTCAATTCGATATTCTACGATTCTACAACCAACTTCACTTTTGTTCCAGAATTCTAATTCTCCTTTGCAGCTTTGCCCTCTCAACTCCAAAGCGAATTCGCAGTAAGGCGATCGCCCCGTGCAAGCGCACGAGCACCTGACCATTCTTGCGGACCACCTCAGTGCCACAGAGACTTCGCCAATTCTCACGTGCCACCTGAATTGTCTCCGTCTATTCCTTTCTGACTTGTCACAACTTGCACATTCCCTTCCAGCGCACCTGCAGTGTCCTCATTTTGTTCAAAGCCTACCAATCAGAGGCTTGGAGGATCTTGGAGGATCTTGGAGGATCTTGAAGATTGATTGAAGATTGATTGAAGATTGATTGAAGATTGATTGAAGGGCTAAAGACGTAAACCCGCAAAAAAGACACTGCAAGTCGACCTGCAGCAAGGCAGTACGACCAAAATGCAAACCTCAGGACAGGTGCTCGCACTGGTAGTTCCAGTACAAATATCATTAAATATCGCCAAATAAACCAAACAGGTCCAAATAGCAAATGTAGAGAAGAGATGAGAAGAGAGGAAATAGTGGCCTTGCTCATTGTTTTGCTACTAATATTACCCATTACCAACTGATATCTGCCTTGCTTCCCAAGCAGTCTATTCAAGAAACTCAGGAAATCGTTTTTTTAATTCATGTGCGTGCCGATCTGGGTGCGTGCACGCATTCACACTATTTTCCTGGCATCAGTGTTATTCGCAAAGCGACATCTTTGTGGAAATTCTCCCAATGTTGCTATATTAATATTGGTTGATATCAAAGCCTCCGTATCTTCTGGAACTGTCCATCGCAGACCTGTCAACGCCTCCTCTGCACTCTATGTTTCCGTTCATGTGGCAGCCACGTTCAACAGTTTCACTACTTTCAATGTTTGGCCTCATCATTGCCTTCTCATGGTTTCTTAACCTTTTATCGGTTCTGGATGAATTCCGCAAAAACTTACCAGCAAAAAGGGGCACCCCTTTCTTGAAGCAATACCTCAATATAAAGATCTCTGCAAAGAAATACTCAATACTAAATACATAAGTTGTAATATGTTGTAATTTTTGTTGGGAGGCACATGGAGACGATGTGTTTCGAACCCATCTTCGCCCAGCAACGTGCAATGGCCTGAGCGCAACCCGGGAATTTGAGCACAAAAAAAATGCAAATGCTCCAAGATGTTCACAGTTCACGGAAATTTGCAAAATGTTGTTCCAAGATTTTCGACGTCCTAAGTGCAGTTCTGGAATCCGCTGCAAATCCTCCAGGCTGAGTCCTCCTCCTTGAGGAAAGTCTCTGTGCCTTGCATCAAAATGACACCAAACACCCCTGGTCTACAGAAGTTGATTCAATACTTGTAGAGAGTACATGCTTTACAGTCAGCGACATCAGGGGTTTCCAGGAAACTGCGTCTCCCTTGGCTCACAAACGGCTTACATTTGCAGCCGAGCGGCAGCACTGCCAAAGTCTCGAAGACGGCCAACGACAACTCAGCTCACATAGCTCGAGCTGTGCGGTCAAAAGAAGCGCTCACTGCTCACTACTTCACAGAATTCCAGATCATTTCGGACACCAGCACTGAAGAGAAATCATTTCAAGGAAAACAAGATTTTGCGCCTTTCCTAAGTTTGATCTCTATAGACGGCTCTCAACAAAAACCTGCCTCTCGTCTCCTTTCTTCCTGACTCATCTGCAGAGCATGTTCTGGTCGGCCATCCTGGGTCAAAGAATATATGAAAGTTGAAAGGGAACAACATCATGCGAAATGGGTGAAACGAACACTCAAAAACAAGCTCAGGATAATAAAAGGTAGGCAAGGGAGTAGGGCGAAATCCCGTAGTCTTTTGCAAGGTTCTTGTGACATGCGTTCTCTAAAGTGGTCTTCTGGTGAATGTGAGAAGGTTTGCCGGAAGGGTTGGGTTCATATTCTTCCACCGTCTCCAAATACCTCGTGGAAATGTGGCGGCATAATGCTTTTGCTTGGCGAAGCACTTTCGACTCTTTGGTTTGGTACTTCTGATTGAGGGAGGCTGTGACCCGTATTATTGTGGTTGAAAGGTTATTGACAAATCAGTGTCGCTGATCTCATCCGTTACTAACGCCGCCCATGAAGACGCGGGGACTTTCAACGTTTTCTTAACGTCCGATGTTTCTTGTGGGTATGGGGATGGATGGGGTGACGTTAACGTTCTTGTTAACTTGCACGCTTTCTGCACACTACATCGATCACGTTGCTTGGGTTGGGTATGGGGATGGGTGGGGTGATATTAAATCTCGTGTTAACTTGCACGCTTTCTGCACACTACGTCGATCACGTTGCTTGGGTTTGTTATGGGGTTGGGTGTGGTGATGTTAAATTTCGTGTTAACTTGCACGCTTTCTGCACACTACGTCGATCACGTTGCTTGGGTTGGGTATGGGGATGGGTGGGGTGATATTAAAATTCGTGTTAACTTGCACGCTTTCTGCACACTACGTCGATCACGTTGCTTGAGTTTGTTATGGGGATGGGTGTGGTGATGTTAACGTTCGTGTAAGGTCTTTGGCAGTGGACTTACAGCTGGCAATACAGATACAACAATGGCAAAGACCTTTGGACAGCTGCGCCACATGTCTTGGAGCACATCCGAGAAGGATGAGTTGAAAAAAACCTGCGTCTTTACGGGCGGCGTTACTTTGTTTATGTCTCCCTCCATTGGAGCCAAGGACATACACAGCATGACCCTCCCTCTCATACACCCGTGGCGCCCTCCATCTGTACATCACCTTCTTAACGACAGTTTTTCGGACATTTCCTAGGCCCCCTGAGAAGAAATGCCAAAGCATGGAAGACTCAGGTAGCCTTGGCGACCTGTCATAATTAAAGACTGGATGTGGCAAGCCTCTACCAGCTGGAGAAGCATGTCAGAACGTTCGTTCACCTTAGTCACATCAGCCCAGGCTCGCATTCTAGATCATGGTGCACCTCATGAAACTAAACTATAGACTGTAAATTATAAATCAGACAATAAATGTCAAAAAGAGTATGAGTAGCGTTTTCCTCGCTTCCACAAAGAACCACAAACAAGTAGACTACAACGGTCACTGGTCCAGGACTGCAAAGATCTGCGTCAAGAATGGTGAAACATGGTGAAACCATGTGAAAGCACAAGGTGGAACTTCGGAGGCGACTGAGCTGAATGCTGTGGTGAGTTGATCTCCACAGCGCAAAGAAAGCCATTCCCAAAGAGCAAGGCCAGCTGGCAGCTTCCACCGCGCCCTGACGCGGCGCGCACAGCATCCAACCAGGGATAGTAACGGATAGCACTACCAGAAAATATGCCAAATCATGCCAAATCTATCCAAATGTTCTCAAATCTTACCTTCGCCGTTGAACAAGCAAAGGAACAAGGCCCTGTCCTTCTGACGTTCGCATCTTCCAGAAGTTGAGACCTGACTGCCAAACAAAAATAAGAACACAGGCTTCGCGCCACAACTTTCAGTTCAGGTTCAAGAAGGCAAAGCAAAGGCAAAGCAAAGGCAAAGCAAAGGCAAAGCAAGGAAGGGCTAGTTCCAATCACTGAGAGTCAAGCAGTGGAATCCAGGTGTCATGTACTGACAAGGCCTGGATATGAAGCACAACTCGCTGTGAGTCAAGGCAACTCCGCGAACACAATAGCAAGCATATCTCGCATGTCAGACGATGTACAAAGGTCAAACAGGAAACATAGGAGGCATGGGAAGAAAAAAACAAAACATGAAATATAAGGAATGAAAGAAACAAGAAACATGTTTTGAAGTCGCAGCATGCTGCAGATTGTCAGATAAATGTTTTTTGGGTATCTTGGGTCCTATAGACTGGAAGAGGCCTTCGCCAATGCCTATGCCCAGCCTACGCGCAAAGGGTTTATTAGAAAGGGTGCCTACGCACGCGCTTTGCTATCTTCGCAAGGCTTCGCGCTCGACAAAACACTGTCGCAAAAGTTGGAGTTCTAATCGAAATATATCGAAATCTCTGCATCCGTTAACAATGGCGTAACAACGGTGCTCAGATGTAAAGACTCAGGTCTGAAGGTCACCGGCGGAGCCTTCATGACTCTTCGGACGTCGTGAAGCAAAGTTTTCCTGGGATGGGACACTAAACTTGTCTTGACTGAGGCTGTCTGAGCTGAGAACGGAGGGTGCACAAGGAAATGAACAAAAATCTGCAACACAACATGAAACAGTCCGAGGCCAGTTCTCACCCTCTGTCATGGGAGGCAAATCTTTTTGTCTCCTTGATTCGCCACCACAGATGTTGGATGAAGACGACAGGAGAAATGCTGGGCACACAATTTCTATCAATTTCTGGCCTCCTAGCTTTCCGGCTTCTCGGCGTGTACGGCTTGCTGAACCCCATCCTGTCGTGAGGAATAAACCCGGTGACTCCAAATGTTTGTTTGACTGTGCTGCGATAACGAAGGCGTCCGTCCTTTCTGCTGCCATCCTCACTTCCTGAGGCGAACTTGGGAGTGATGGAATGGCCATGGAATGGCCATGCAACGGCCATCAACGGCCTCTCTCTTTGCCAGCAGATCATCGAAGAGATTTCGAAACGCATCCTGCCAGTGATAGTAGTGACCACTGCAATAATAACTACATGTTTTCAGTCAATACAACAGTTGCTGAAGCATGCAATCAGTCTCCTGGATTGACAAGTTCCAAAAGAACAGTTGCATCTGCTTGACCTTTCAAAATTCAACGGTTTCTTCAAGCCACCTCGTTTTCAAAGTCCAAACCAAGCTGCATGACCTGAGCAAGACGTCCCCTCCCTTTTCATCATGTCATGAGAATGAAATTCAGCTAAAAAACTGCTAAAACATTTGAGAACTTTGAAAAAACGAAGATGCCTCTTCTCCCAAAGCAAAGTAGCTGTCCTGACAGCACGGCGAAACAATGTGAAAATATGTGAAACAATGTTCTGCCAAGTTTGTAAACATTTTTACACTGAAAACATCTGCACTCGGCAGAACCCGACTCAAATCATCTCAGATCCGCCAGGTCCTCCAGAGCAGCCATTTGAAGGCTGGGTTCCTCCAGCAACGCGCACGCCTGATATTCACAAAGCACAGAAAAGGATTTTAAAACACAATTAAAAATGTAGAAAAGAGGCTCTCCAGATGCTCCAGTCGGATTCGACAACTTCCATCTATCCGAACCTACCAAAAGCGACTTTCCCAGGCCTGCTTGGCTGTCAAGCGGATCATTGTGTTCGAAGGATTCCCATCTAACGACCTGCAAAGGCAATCTTGGCAGACTCTGGCAATTTGGACACGTTGGACGCTTCAGACACTCTGTTTCTATGTCAAAGCATCAAATGTTGGTCTTCCAAAGCGTCCAATGGCTGGGACTAGACATAGTCAGCCAAATCTGATAATCAGGCCGGGCATTCGGTGCAAGGGAAAAGCTGCTCAAGACCTGCCACTGTGGTACACTGCTCTGAGCCTCACATCCTGTACCATGGCCCTTTCCTATATTTGACTGCTCGGATTTGCCTAGGCACAGACTATGGAGTTTGTTAGACTGCTTAGGCATCCCGTGTATATATATATATATATGTGTGTGCATATATACATATATATAAATATGCATGTATGTGTCTATTTCTATATATTTATAAATAATATAATATATAGTCAATAATAATATAATTTAATAAAATATAATATATAACATAATTTAATATAACATAAGATGATACATAATAAAAAATAATATAGTATAATAATAAAAATTAAATATAATATAATATAATATAATATAATATAAAAAATATAATATAATATAACATAATATAATATAATATAATATATTATAATACAATTTATAATTTATAATATACATATATAGCATAATATAGTATCATATTATATATTATATTATATCATATCATACCATATCATATCAAATTATATATTATATTATATAGTATAATGTTATATTATATTATATTATATTGTAATATATTATAGAATTGAAAATATAATATAATATAAAGGTATAAATATACATGTAAATGTAAATATAAATATAAATATGATAAAATATATGTATATAATGAAATATATCTATCTATCTATCTATCTATCTATCTATCTATATCTATCTATCTATCTATATCTATCTATCTATCTATATCTATCTATCTACATCTATCTATATCTAGCGCATATATGGCATATGGTCAGTCAGAGTCAGTCACATGGCACCTGAGGTCTCAAAGTTGTCCGGAGATGTTCTTCAGCTTTGCCCAATGTGAGTTCGCCACCGGACGAAACCAGAAGCTTTTCGATTTTTCGGCGCAACTCCTGAGCATTCAGTGGCTACTCAGTCACTACTTGCATTCTTTTGGAAATGGCTCGTTTGGCCAACTGGTTGAGACCTTTCTGCTTCAAAGTCACCATCACTGGATCGAACACCTCGGGTGACGCTGCACTTCCCAGCCTGCGCCATCTATGCCACTGGTGCCGCCCGCACATGTCACCTGAGCCACCTGTAATTTATCGTCTCCGTCTCCCATGAATCGCTGAGCCTGCTTTCCCACGAAGATTGGTTCGCCACCTAAAGTGTGGCACAAGCGCCGTTCGCATCCACCAATCTACGAGTACCATCCGACAATTCGAGCTTTTAGGAAACAAATCAATCAGGCCTCTGAAGCACTTGCAGCAACTTTGGCTGGGCCTTTGGATGCCTTTCAGATTAGGGCACTCTTGGCTCGCTCTGCGTTTGCTAGCATCAGAGTGTCCAACAAATGACTTCTTGCGGAAAATGCGATCCGGCAAGAAACAAGCTCAACGTTTTGTGAACACTGAAGAATCTGGGCGGATTCTGAATCTGTGCTTTTTGGTCTCTGCATGATGAAACTCTGACAGCCATTGCCTGCACAAGTTCATCCTGCATTGAAATTAAAAGCGTCTTCGCCATGTCACGTTGTCACAGCTATCACCTGCTCAAAAATGCTTCTTTGGCATTCTCCAGGTGTCCCCAAAAAAAGACAGGACATCTTGCCTGTCAGTGTCCAAGCCTTGGCTCTTCTGGTGGCAGATTCTGGGGAGTCTGCGTGGAACTTTTGCTCGCAAACTTTATCTTCACCACTGCTTCATCACTGCTTCAATCAATATGTGTAACTTTTGCTAGCGCTTGCATGTGCACTGGAGGAGCCTCAAGACGCGGTCAGAATCCAAGCGCTGAACCTGAGGCCTCTTGGACGAAGTTGAAGACCTCCAGGGCTTGGCAAAGACTCGTTTTTGCTGTTTTTGCTTGCATGTTTATTGCTTGGCAAAGACATCATGAGACAAATGAGACATGAAATAACTCCAAGAAGTTTGAGTATTCTAAGTGAGACAGGGATGACCCAGGGATGGCAGAAATGTTTAACGGACACCACCCCGCCTGGAAAAGTCCTTGCCTTGAAGCTCCCAAGGGTCGGTTGCCCCAGGTGTCCACTTCTGACTGCCAGAGGCGTCTGAGGCATCCGACTCGTCCTGCATAGCCAGGTGTCGTGACATTTTTTCTCAGGAAAGTCGATAGCACATGATAGAACTCTTATAGAACTTGTATAGAGCTGTTCTTCTGAAAGCTGCATGTGGTTGAACTGTGGGTACCAAATAGTACCAAGACAGATGAACCTGCCTCCCCAACACGCAGCAAGTTGGGAGTTTTTGAGGTTTCATCTGACGTTTAGAAGCGGTTTGACACGTTGCCATGCAAACGATTCTGCCACCGGCATATCATACGGCACTTTGACATCAAAACGCAGGGAGGCAGGGAGCAAGATTAAAGAACATTGAAAACGCGTGTTTTGCCTTGTGCTGGAAGTCTTGGATTTTCACTCACTCTTGTGGCAAGCATTTCTCTATTTGACACATGTAATATGGCCATTACCAATCATTACCATGGAGACAAATTCTGGTCAGTCCTGAAGTTCGGGAAGTCAACAAATTCTTGAAACATCAAATGGGGTCATACAGTACAAAGAGGGTCGCCCTTGGGACAAAGAATCATGGCAGTGGCCTTGTTCTAGACATTTGAAATGATTTGGAATAGTCTCTGCAAGAGGTCTGCACGTGCTAAGGCTTAAGGGACAGCTACGTGTGATTTACTGGCATGAATGAAGCCTGCCCCCCAAAGAACAAGGCGGGAGAGTTCAGGAAGCTGGGTCTCAAGAGATATATGATTTCTGTTTTCGAAGGTTCCGCATATTAACAAGGATCCAGAATTGAAGCCTTGCATATCTGTGAACGGAATTCTGGAGTCGAACATCAAGAAGAATTGCAACTACTGATTGTGTTTCCATGTGTAACATTCAGATATGGTATTATCTTTGTGTAAAAGTACTGTAAGCGGATGTGGTCGGTAAAAATCAAGTTGCATAATATGTGTTTCAACTGGTGCAACGCGTCTTCGCGCAGTGTGTTCCCTGGAAGAGCTAAAATTGGCCGTGCATTTTGCTCGGTGCCACCATGTTTTTGAAAGCAAAACTGGTGGAACGCATCCCTCGAACAGTGGCGTAATTCTAAAACGCCGCCCAATCAGCATTGAACATGTTGGTTTTGACCATCTCAGCGCGTGTGACTCTTAAGTTTCTGAACTTCTGATGCATTGCAACTTCAGGATTCAAAGACTACTAGAGTCAGGGAACGAAGCTTGCAGTGGTGACGACCCATGTGCAAAAAAAATGTTGTTGCGAAAGTGTTCCAAACATAATTTGAGGCACCACCTCTTTTAAGAAACAGATTTGGCACATTCGGGCACTTACTTTTCGGAAGTTTTTGGAGGAGAAGGTTTTGACGCAATAATGAATCAGAAATAAAGCGGGCACAATGCAGCAACGCATTGGGCAGCAACACATCAGCAACCCCGAAGCTTCAGAGATTCATCTGCAAGATTTTGTTTTCAGTTCGCAAAGTACTGAACATCTGCTGTGATATGGAATTCCAATCATTGCAAGCCTCTGGCTCATTTGCAGCAACGGCAAGGGCATAAACAGAGAGGCAGCCACCAACGCAGACCTAGCAACAGAAAGACTTTGGTGCTAAGTTCCAGTAGTGCCGCACAAGGCGGTGGCGGAAGCGGAAACCTATGGGAGAGGTTGCTTGCTGTGAATCACGGATGGCAGAGCAAATCCACTGATGGACCGAAAGGTGGTTGGAGTTGTGCTTTTTGGAATGGCTGCAGTGGTCACCTCACCCACAACTGCTGGATGAATCTATCTGTCTATCTGCAAGCTTGAAAAAACGAAGTAATTCTGCGAGACTTCCTCACTTTTCGAAGTTGACAACATCAAAAACAAAGCAAGTGTGCGAGACCTGCTCACTTTTTAAACTTGACAACATCGAAAACGCTGCAATTCTACAAGCTTTCCTCAATGTTTTAACTTCACAACATCGAAAACGCAGCAATTCTCCGTGATGTCCTCAATGTCTTAACGTGACAACGTCAAAAACGAAGCAATCCTGCGAGACTTCCTTCAATTTTCGAAGTTGACAACATCAAAAACTAAGCAATTCTGCGAGACTTCCTTCAAAAATAGAAAGTTGAGTGCAAAGCTGACAGCCTCGTAACCTCGTACCAATGCGTTTTGCGATTTTTCCAGTCCACCTGTCGAAAGTACTGCGCCTGCCCCGAAAAAGTGATGCCAGGTCATAGGAAGTGCTGCACCTGTCACGCAAAATCATCTCAGCAAACCTGAAGATCTGATGCTCCAAAATGCAACCCCTCTCAGGAGATCAGCGCCCGGACCTCCTAACATCTCTGATGAACATGTCTTTTGTACTGCGCCTGCCACGCAAATGCATCTTTCCAGATGCTCTTCAAATGCCCCACGCCTGCCATCGTTTTTGGAAATACTACAAAACCCTCACGTTTTGCCCACTTTTGGCAAGGTGCAAAATCCCTTGCACCTGCCACGCAAAACCACATCTGAACCTTCAAAAGCGGTCCGAGCATGTGGTGCTTTTAACATTTTGACTTGGAATGTGCTTCGCGCCACAATGGCATGCACTTTTTCGACATCTCAACTTCAAAAAGTGCTCGGAAGCGGGTGTGCTTTGTACATTTTGACTTCGAAATGTGCTTCGCGCCACAACGCCGTGCACTTTTTCGACATGTCAAATACCAAAAGCGGTCCGAACATGGTGTGCTTTGTACATTTTGACTTCGAAATGTGCTTCGCACCACAACGGCGTGCAAGTTTTCATCTCTCCTCTGGCCAGATGGCTCCGCACCCGCCGCTTTAGCGAGCCTACTTTTTAACCCTCCGGAGCCACAAATCAGCGGAAAAACACAGTGTTTCGCGACTTTTCTACCTTTTCCCGCACCTGAATCTGATCTTCTCTCTTCTTCTCTTCTCTTCTCTGCCTCTTCCCACCTCTGCTTTTCCAACTGTCCATACTGTCGGAAGTTTGACTTCTAAACTTCCTTCGATGAAGAGTTTTGAAAGCAAATAATTTCTAAATACTTCAAGTCACGGGTGTAGAGGGCGTCTCAGGTCCAAGCCGAGATCGTTGAAACCCCCGGCGCTTTGTGCCCACGCTCTTCATGGTCTGCAACACAAGGTGCTTTGCCAGTGATCAAATAGATTACAGCCATGTCCAGCATCTGTGATTAGATAGTGAAGTACATCAGCTATCCCTCAGCGAAAATGTGTAGCAACACGTGGCAACATGTGGTAAGATGTGGCAACGTATGGGCAACATGGACAGCGTCATTGGGGCGCAAACAACTCCATCTTGTGCAGCCGGATCAGGCTGGGAGGCAGCAGCCTAGCACTGCCGTGGCCGGTATTCTGGTCAGGTAGAACTCAGCACAAACACATAGCTCATATACTAACTTGCTTCGGTTCATTCAATTTGTTCGTTGTGCAGCGCAAATTTGGGAGTATGTCATGCCACGACGAATCAGCGTTATATTTTCAAGTTGCTGACAAACATGTTTGCAAAATGTGTCAATTCCAGCACCGAAAGTCAGAGTGACATGGTCACATTCAAACATTGGGAGGGGGTCTGGAGAAAATGATGAAAACACGTGAAAATGTGCCTTCTTGCCCAGCAGCCCAGCATCCTGACATAAAATGCTTGTAGCTTGTGCACAAAATCCACAGCACACACGGTTTGCAGCGCCTTGAAAGCATGACGCTGCCGGCCAATGCAAACCCCAACGTCCGCAGTAAAATAGAGAACCTGCACAGAAGGCGTGCAGCATCTGCCAATTGCCAAGGAAACCACAATAGATAGTAGGCAAGAGGGGCTATTCTCAATGCTTGGCCAACATTGCACAGTCTGGCTACTGAGCACCCTCATCCAAAGCGGAACTTCCTTCATGCTCAGTAGCAACCTTGGACATGTGCAATGGTGTCGCTGTGCTGGTGAAGTTTTTGACTGCTCATATTGGCATCTCAAATGACGAAGATCGAAAAAAAAATACATTTTGTCTAAGTCTACCGCACTCCACCAGCCAACGCGGCCAGGTTTGACAAAGGCATGAAGGTCTGAGCAAGTTTCAAATGGATCAGTCAACTGCCTTGACTGCCTTGACTGCCTTGGCCAATTGTTGTTGAGTTTGAATCGGCCCAACCGCCCAACCTGGTACATCACATTGATCACCTTGTTGCCTAAACATAGTGCCAGCATGGCAGAAAAAAAAACTGTGAAACAGAAAGTCAGCGAGAAAAGTGTTGCGCAGGCGTGGCAA